CTGCACGTATTGCCTCTCAATAGGTACAAAGAAAGATCCTATGACGAGTCTTGTCAGATGAGAGTCGAATTTTCCACCAGATGCACTCTAGTCATTGTCCAGCCCTCTTCATCTTCCTAAACTCTTCCATATACCATGGCTCACAGTTAGAAGTGAGTGGGAAAGGACGCTTGGGAGCGATTGTGCAGATAGCCTTGGCAAGATCAGTGTTCCAGGTATTGACCAAAGCTTCAACAGAATGGGCGTTACCAACTATTAAACGCTCTAAGGCTTTCTGGAATCCAATTGGTTCCATTAGCCTTCAAGGGTGGACCATTCTAATAGGTCCACCAGTCGTCTTCCTGGCTCCACAGCCAGTGTCGTTGCTGTGCCGCTGGGGAATGGAAGAGCGGCTTTGAAGCCTCCCCAATTCCTCTTCCCTGCTCCACAGCCGGTGTTGTTGCTGTGCTGCCGGGGGATGGAAGGGCGGCTTTGAAGCCTGCCCCAGTCCTCTTCCCTGCTCTGCAGCCAGTGTTGTTGCTGCCCCTGAATGCTGCAGTACAGGCAGAGTTCCTCCCTCCTCAGCACTAGTGAGCCACGGTCGAGCCCCTCCCAGCTGCATAAGTTCCTCCGCAGGCTGCGAAGGGGCCGACACAGGTGGAGCTGCATGAACTGTACAGCCTGGACTAGGGAGGGATGGAAGGGCACTCAAGTGAGCCTATCTGCAGGCTTGTGAGGTAGCAATCAGGCCAAGTAGCTTATGCAATCAACAAATCCAGGGATGCAGGGGGCTCCAAGTGCACCAACTCATTCAATATCAAGTCTGACAGGTTGTAATGGAATTGGGTTTGCAAGGCACTGTTATTCCACTCCAAATCCTGTGCTATCAGGCAGAAGGATATGGAGTATTCTACTAAAGTCCCTTTGCCTTGCTGGAGAACTCTCCACCATCTTGGCCTTTACACGATCCCACCGGTGGCTTGCATTTCATCAATGAAGCCCACAGGTTCTTGAGGAGGGGCTATCCTGGTTCAAGTAGGGAGTAGCCCATTTGCTGGCAGGGCCCAAAAGCAAACTAATTATAAACACCATTTTATGGGACTCATCAGGAAATTCACCCCTGCAAAGCTTAAAATGGAGCTTGTAGCAAGCAAGAAAGCTGTCCAACACAGTCCTGTCTCCCTGGAACTTATCAGGAAGGAAGGCAAAGCATTTCTGGTGTCATTCAGGAGCTGGCATGTACCCACACTCTGAGTTAATTGCTGCACCTGGCCAGAAAGCCGCCCATCTGCATTTCCCCGTAATGGCAGGGGAACGTGCAGCAACTCCTCCAAAGCACGTTCCCCTGCCATTATGGGGGAATGCAGATGGGCGGCCCTGGGCCACACTGGAAGTGGATGATCGAGGCTGAGGCTGCTGGACACCTTGGCCCCAATCCTCCCTTTCGCCGCTCTGTGCGGACGCTGAGCAAGAAGGACTTCATCGGAACACCCATCATGTGGACAGGCTGTCACTCCGATGATGTCCTCAGGAAGGGGATGGGGTGCCCAGAGTCTGGCTGCCTCTCCCCTTCCTGGGATTGAAGACAGTCTGCATCCACCCTATGTCTCAATCAGCCTGGTTAAGGGCCAGAGGTTATTCTGTCCTAGAGCCTGACCAGTGGACTGATAGAAGAGGCAAAGGAAAATCCAAAGCACAGTCCAAGTTACCAGTCCAAGGGGTCAGCCAGTGAAGGGTCTAGCAGTCCGTAGGTCTAGGATTCCGACGAAGCAGGGTGGCAAGGCAGTCTGAAGGTGAAGGGTTCCAGAAGTCCAAGAGAAGTCAGTGGTCTGAGGGTCAAGTGTTCTGATAGTCCAAGATAAGTCAAGATTCAAGGGTTCAAGCCAAGGAACAAAGAGAGCCAGAGCCAGAGGGTTTCGCTAGGAATCTCAGATAACTTCTGGCATTGAGAAAATGCTTCCATACCTGCTTAAATCCCCAAGCTTCCAAAGCTTATCTGGGGCTGATTACATCGGCGTTTTTCATAAAGCGTCCTTGAGCATCGAAGGCCCATCCTTTCGGCTCGACACTTGCTGAAGGTAGGCACAGTCCCTTGATCCTCCTCCATGTCCAACGGTATTGGGAGGCTTGGCTGCAGAGCCTCCTGAGAAGCCACAGGCTCTGCGGCAATTGGCAGAGCAGCGCTACTAGGGCCAGGCTGAGGTTCCTCCACTGCAGATTCAGGACCTGGAGGAGGTTCAGGCTCATCCTCCAAGTCCAGGCAGAGCATGACAATCAATCTCTCAAAAACATGCTATCTCCAGATATGTGATATAAAAATATGAAGATCCCAAAATACATCACAGGGTATACGGGGTGCTTAACAGTAACTATACTTTGAACTAATGTTCAGTGCACCATTTCTGAAGGGAAGTAAGGATTGATTCATATTCTCAAAATTAAGAGTAATATTTTGTATATTGTCTGCTATATTGGTGAAGTCTCCTTTTGTGGACATCTTGAAAAAGAGGCTGGAAAGCTACTTCTGAGGCTGTTTTATCTGGAGATCCTGCACCAAACAGGGGTTCGATTTGATGACCCATGAGTCCTCTTCCAACTCTTTGATTCATATACAATGCACAGTCTACAAATTAGGAAACTATTGTAATTTACCAAGTATGACTGACTGGCATCCTGTTGATGGACCAAAATTCAATTTTTGATCATTGTGGTGGCTGAAATTCTGACCCAACAGTGCAACAACCAAAATCATCAACAAAACCCTACCTTCATCAGCTGCAGCCTCCAAGCCATGACATCACATGTAGAGCAATGACAACATGCACAAGAGCCTCCAGAGGACCATTCCTGCAGACATTACTGTGCATCTAGCTGTAGAAAAATAGTTGGTCCTTTCTCTGGTCCCCTCACATTTGCCAACCAGTAAATGCCTGGTTTCAAAGTGCTACAGCTGAGAAAAGGTGGGTTTGGGGGCTGCATCAGTGGAAGACAATCAAAGTTATATCTTATAGCTATGTTTTTCAATGCAGGATCACAACCTCTGTTTAAGAATGTAAAGATTCTTAAATAATACCGCACATATGTAAATACGTAGAAAAAAATAAAGTACACTAAAGCCACAAAGTGCTCATGAAAAGACATCTGAAGGCTGGAGAATGTGGAAAAATATCAAACAGTACACTCCAAAAGATCAACCCATAAGAACAATTTGAGGGTGAAACATCTTAACTAAAAGGTATACCTCATTGTGTCCTGTCACAGCCAGATTTCTTAATTCAGCACATAGCAAAAGGGTTATGCTTAGTAGGACTGTATAGCTTTTGTTATGGTATATCTGTCAGTCTCATCACAGACATGACCAAAAGGAGAGAACCTTGGTGAATAGCTATGACCCCCCCCCCAGGTGATGCCCCAAAGGTGTTCACCAGAAAGTCCAAATGTGCATGTCCACCTTGGACTGCATTGTGCTACCACAGAAGGGAATCTGCTGCACTTGGCAGCCCTTCTCTTCCTTGATAAATAAAAAGGCACACAGAACAACACAAAGACAAAATAGCTAGCTGTCTGAATCAGAAATACACTAAGGGGGGTTGCAGACTGCCAGAAATAGTGTGAATTCAGTCCACTTTTAGGGTTAGGGTTAAAGTTAGGGAACCATGGGAACTGTATTTTATTGTGGCACCAGAGTTGTCTGACAGAGAAGGCTCAATGTCTCAGGAAAATAACAGTTCCCATGATTCCCTAGCACTAACCCTAACCCTAAAAGTGGACTGAATTCACACTATTTCTGGCAGTCTGCAACCCCCCTAAGACTCATATAGGTTTTCCCATGGAAAGTAACAATTTTTTTAGCTTTGCAGTTAACATGCTTGCACACCTTGTCTAATTCCTTGAAACAAATGGTCCCTTTCCAATTTTTTACTGCACCATCTCAGATCAGGGTGTGGCCAAATCCTGGATCTTGAAACCCAAAATGTTTCAAGATCCCATTACATCTGATGGAATAAATCCAAGCCTATGTTCATTCTCCAAGTTCATTCTCACCCAAATGAATAAATGAGGAGAACTGTACTCAAAAGAATGTTATTGCAAGGGAAGTAGATAGTCCCAGAACATGTCTCATTTCCTCAACTAGTCAACCTTCTTAGACCAAGCTAGATGCTAATCACAAGACATCTGAAGGCTGCAGTAAATCAATTGTAATGAATTTATTAGGAGTGTAGAATGTCTTGGAAAGGAAGTATACAATACAATGTTCTGAGTGCAAAATGAGCAATCTGCTTTCACTCAATATATTGTGGACACATTAATAATAAATAATAATAATAAATTTTATTTTTATACCATCCATTGGTAGTCCAATCTGGGCGGTTTACAGCATAAAATATAACATAAAACAACATTTTCCCTCCCACTTAGTCTAGGCCCGATGGACGTCGGATGGAGTGGAGGGAGGGCTCTTCTACTTAGGCTAGGCCCGATGGAGATGGGCCTGCATCTCTCCCCCAGATGATGTCGGATGGAGTGGAGGGAGGGCTCTTCTACTTAGGCTAGGCCCAACGGAGATGGGCCTGCATCTCTCCCCCAGATGACATTGGATGGAGTGGAGGGAGGGCTCTTCTACTTAGGCTAGGCCCGATGGAGAATAACTCCATTAACTTCTTGTAGGAATATCATACACCACTCCATAATGTTAGGTCATGATCTGTCCACTTTATGTGCACCTGAAAGAGATGATTAAAGATTTCTATACAGGACTTTCATCTTCCTGCCATCCCTCAGTCTTCTGTTTCTGTTCTGGACATAGTGAAAAGCATGACAACACGCTAAACCTCCAACATTGTATCTTCTCTATTAAAGGGACAGGAAGCCTGTACTCCTTAGCATCTCAGCATGGTTCTCCTCAGGCACAAGAAAGAACACCATGCAAATAGATTGCTTGATAATAGAGTCCATCTAATCCAATTTAATCTATTCTGGTTAGTAACAAATCCCCAAGAGCAAATGTCCTTTTCTATAACTGGTAACATTCAGGGATAGAACCTAGGACCTTGTCCTTATGAAGTATATGCTTTGTCACTTAGCCATGTGCCCTCATGAATATAAACAGTCTTGTGCACAGGATTTTCTTACAGTGAATGAATTCACTGCAAATGGGTAGTTTAGAATCTACTACAGGGGTAGGCAACCTTTCCCCTTTAAGGGCTGAGGGACTTCAGCTCCCAGAAGCCTCAGCCATGTTGGCCAATAGTCCCATGTTGGCCAATAGCTCCTGGGATTCTGGGAGCTGAAGTCCCTCGGCCCTTAAAGGGGAAAGGTTGCCTACCCCTGATCTACTAGATAACTATATGTACATTAATGGTTCACTTTCTTGGAAATGAACAGATGATGAGATGATAGCACAGATATCCTATCATGTTAGAGTAAGAAATATTCAAATGCCCTCTCCTATGCAGTATCATTTTTTGCTCACTTCTGCATTTATTAGAAAATCACATTCTCTTACTAAGCATGACATTTTGTTTTTGGGTTTTCCAATTTGTTTTTGCATGTGGATCATAGCCAGATATGTGCTAGGAAGTTTTGTAATAATCAAAATGGTGTGACAATAGAATGCCATGCACAACATTTTTTTTTCAAACCCCACATTTGTAATGCAAAAAACACTGTTTCCAGAAACATATGTGGGGATTTTAGTACAAAGATATTTTATTTGGGGTGAAAATGGGATGAGTAAAAATTGCACAAAATTCTTGCCAACTGGGAAATAAATAGTGATGAATATTCTTTCCATCCTTAGTGATTGACTAGCCATCCAAACATTTGCACTATCTTTCATCCTGTGTACTAACAGTGAATTTATTATCTGAATTGAAACTAAGGAGAATATGTATGTAGAGATATCTTGTAGCACCTTTGAGACTAAAAGAAAGAAGTTGGCAGCATAAGGTTTCGTAGACTTAAGTCTACTTCCTAAGATGCTTTTGGTCAGAAAGTAGACTTAAGTCTCCAAAAGCTCATGCTGTCAACTTCTTTCTTTCAGTTAGTCTCAAACTGCTACAAGATCTCTCTACATACTGATTTAACAGACCAACACAGCTATATCTTTGAATTCTAAGAATATGTTTTCCTTACAATTAACCCTTTCTCTCTTCCAGTGTGTGATTTCCTCAGAGATGTATGCCTCAGCTATCAGATTTGCAAATTAATTCTATTTTTTACTTTCCAGTGACTTATCACAAAATAAAGCATCGTAAGATACATGGATGAAATAATGTGCTATGGCAAAAAGATGCATTTCAACACTTGGAAGAGTACCTTTTCAAATAATAATACTTTTTTTAAAAAAGCTCATTAATATATTGTTTGACTCTAATTGTTTAAAATGTGAGTTAGCAGTGACATCTTTAAAATTCATCCACCCACCCAGAACCCTCCCAGCTGCAGTAGAGGAGGAGGAGGAGGAGGAGGAGAGAGAGAGAGTTGGGCTCCAGCTAATCTGTGTCTTCCACATGCCCCATTGACTGAAATGCACTGTGTGGATAGGATGAGCAGAGCTTTTCAGTTGTGATGCCAGTTATGATACAGAGATGCAACAGAGATCTAAGGCCCTAAGCAGACGACTAATAAAGTCGTCTTCTGGGCAGA